AAATCAATCAATTAAAATCATTTTTTATCATTCATTAAGGAAAATAAACGTTGCTAGGGGGTTCCGAAGTTTAGTTCGCAATAGCTGATGTGCTCTTTTCAGTAGTTGGTCGTGATTTGCTCGATTGGTTCCGCTTAGAGTCGGTGTATAATGAGTCACGCCAAGAGAAAAACAGTTGAACTCGCATCACGGTTTTCGAAAGATTCCCTTTCTTTTAACTTGGCAACAGAGGAGTTCTGCATCAACTTCAAATGACTTCTAGCGAGGAAAAAAATTAACGGCTGTAGTAAATCATTATAATATCAGAGATTTTGTCGAACTATCTTAAAGAAAATAGTAGAAATTGTCATTACTGATCATTACAAAACGTAGCGCTTGACAAATGTAATGCTCACTGCGTGTATATGATCATTTCTTCGATTATATTTTATATTTAATTGCAATACCTTTCGTGGACCTTTCATAGCATCGTAATGCTTGTTTACTTTGCACGATAGGTAGCCGGTTTGACAGTTCAATAGGTAGACTTGGCTTCACTCTTGGCGTGACTCATTATACACCGACTCTAGTTCCGCTATTTTAAAGCTCAATTCAAGCTGAACATTGCATTAGGCCCTAAGTAACATTGACAGATTCTCTTCGTCGACTTTCTCTTTGCATCCCCACGGTCTATTGCTGATTATACATAAAATGTATAAGTCAACTAATAAGCAGACGCCATGCAAAAAGTTAATGAAGATCATGTGTCAAATGAAATGTATAAGCGGTCACACTTACCTTTTATGCATTCTTATAGGACCTATGTGGTTTGTCTTATGGAATGTATAAGCACAAACGAAGTGACAGACGGAGCGGCTCAAAATTTGATTTGACGCACTTACATTTACAATTTTCGAGTGTACCTCACGACAACACTATCTACTCATATGTACTAGCTTAAAGTAGGGGCATCTCTTTTTCTCTAACGAAAATTGAAAGGGAGAGCCTGTTGTCAAACAGCATGTCATTATGTCGTCTGCACTTCTTTTGTATAATGAAAGACCAGAGGCCAAAATGATTAGGGATGAACACATAGGGTTAACATTTGCGTACAAGTAAACGATGTTGATCAGTCAATGATTCGCGCTTGTTGCAATTGCTGCTACAGATTTCTTCAGTCCATGCTTCTAACTAAAGTCAGAGTCATCCGCGACCGAGAAGACATCATTGTTGGACGCCAACAAACAGAACCCGGCCATACTCGGTACGCATTTGCTCCTCCGTAGTGGAACTGGAAGGATCCACCCAAGCTGCCTGTTGCTATATCAGTTTTGTCTGCTCCAGCTTCTTCTTTTCTTCTGCAGAACCAGACAGTGCGAGTACTGGTTGTGTTTTATCATGCCAAACCAACCGGTGGAATACTAATCCGAGAGACGATTTCTTAGGCACGTTGCATTTGTCGCAGTAGATCGTCACTTGCCGGTGCACTTTCATGGTTACAATCGCCGTGGCAGTAGTTTCGTCATACAGATCGACCGCTGGATCGATATCAACCTGATAGGTAAGGCCGGCATGCTTCACGCAGTGGCGCTCCCTCATGTCGCGGGGAATCCTTTTCAAACAGGCGGCGCATTGAAACTTCTGTATACGAATCGATCGGGACATAGGATTTAATGTCACGTTTTTATCTCTTGCTGCCTCGTCTGCTCAGCCTATTCTTATTCATCTTTTTTCTATTACTTCGACATCGATCGGCTTCCAATTACTGCTGTGTACGGCGTTTTCGTTTGGCAACTCAAACCGGTTCCGGAGAGGCAAAACATTTTCGGGTACGGGTGCGGGTAGTGCAGCTAACGTTCGTATCGGAGTGGATGTCCCTGTCGAATTGGTTGATTGGATCTAGAACAGTTATCTAGGTTCCAGAGATATGAACAGATTTACAGAAGTTTCTATATTCGAGATCTTTAAAATGGCTTGTCTTAAAATTGACAAATTTGTACTAGACTTTGAGCTTTTCTCTCTGCACCTCAATTTTTCTCAATTTCAAGATTTCCTAATTAATGACTATGTTCAATCGTTCACATCCCGAAATTCATTCATAACCAATTCGCGTTTGGAATCTAAAAAACAACTTAAATGGTTGGTTTCCCAAAAATAGAGACAGAAAAATGAGCACTGAGTGAGGAAATGGAGGTTAGTAATTAACCTATTGAAAAATGCTGGTTTGTGAGTTTATAATATTTCTCAAAGTGGGTCGCATTCAACGACAGATCGGAACCACATCTTTCATTTCTTTCCGATCAATACACTATTGGTAATTTTCGTCTGTTTTAATCTCACTATTTGGTCACTTTTTTCGTTATTTTAGGCTCTACAGCCACTACAGGTCGGACTCGATTATCCGGAGTATCGATTTTTTTTCACTCCGGATAATCAAATCCTCCGGATAATCGAATCACAAAAAAATTCAAATCTGCCCCTCCTCTTAGATCTAATATTGTTAAAATAATCATATTGTATATTATAATACTAAAATATTTCAAATGTCTGATGCCTGGTCTGATGCATAAAAACTTATAGAAAAAAAACCGCAAAAAAAATACTCCGGATAATCGAGTCTAAAATTCCGGATAATCGAACCCCGGATAATCGAGTTCGACCTGTATTATTGTATAAAATACCCACTACCAGCCCCGCAAAGTAGACGTATTGTAAAGCAATTCTGCTGACAAAACTATATACTTATCTTTAAAGGATTAATTTTGAACGTTTTTTTTGTTTAAGGCAGATTTTTTTTAAATAACCAAAATACCGGGAATTAAAAAAATGGTATTTGAATTGACACCTTGGTGAGCGACGGGTGACGCTGATAATCACTGGACCACGAAGCCCACAAATGTTGTCGAAAGAAGAAAAATTTACGGAAAAATAGGACAACGCAAACATTCCAGAAATTCTATATGTACTGCAAAATTGGTTTATACACCACTTGTTAGATACTAAAAAGTATTAGCTTAATCATTCCGAGCAATCGGGATACACCGGGGTCGCTGGAAGGATAACAGTAACATGTTTGCTCAGCAACAAAGAATGCCGGGCAGCATGATACCAATAAATGGTCCGCACAGCAATGTCCAAAAGTATGGCCGGAATACGTAATCAACGTTCCCTGTCGGATCGTCACAGCAGCGAAATATTCTTCAACCGCTAGTAGAATGGGACCACTATGTATGCCACGTTTTTCCATACCAGCAAACGTCTATTTTTTGCTCACTGTTTCAGCGAAACCGCCATCCCTCTACATTATGAATGAAATCAAAACATTGCTTCCCAAAGTGGCTACTCAGGTCAACTTTTCTCGGAATCAAAAAAAGAAAATCTCAAAGTGATTGGTGAGGCAGAAGGAAACAAGTCAGCTCTTTCATTATCACGACATTCTTATGCATCATCTAGTGTGACGTAACGTTGGATCATGCGTAAGAACACCGTGAGAACGAAAGAGTTGTCTTCATTCCTTCTGCCGCACCTATAGTAACGCACACGGTTCCCGCGCTCACTGTTCCTTACTTTCTCACTCTAATCAAAATTTCCTTCGATGAGTGAGAAAACAGCACCTCGTCAACGCGAGCGAGAACGCGGGTTGCCAGATCATTGCACACAAAACCAACTTGAATTAATTTAAAGCAAAACTACTAGCGAACCTGGCGGTGAGGGGCGGAGGGTGGACTAAAATTCTATTACAGAGAACCACATTATTTTGATTAATTTCTTCGGAGAAAGTCGTCTGTCACTTCGTTTGTGGTATAAGCACAAACGAAGTGACAGACGGAGCGGCTCGAAATTTGATTTGACGTACTTACATTTGAAATTTTCGAGTGTACCTCACGGCAACACTATCTACTCATACGTACTAGTTTAAAGCTATTGATTGTACCGCCTGTTATCTCTTTTTCTCTAACGAAAATTGAAAGGGAGAGCCTGTTGTCAGACAGCATGACATTATGTTGCTTTCGTTGTTATCTGGCCCAACATTATCAGGGGTGAATACTTCGGGTTAACATTTGCTTAGAAGTAAACGATGTTGAGCAGTCAATGACTCGCGCTTGTTGGCGGCAATTGTTGCTACAGATTTCATCAGTCCGTGCTTCTAACCAAAGCCACAGTCATCCGCGACCGAGAAGACATCGACGATTATTTCAAAAGAAAAATAGTTAGCTTGCTATTAATTTTTGAAATTTAAATTTCTTTTGTTTTGTTTGGTTTTTCTTCTACTAATTATTTATTTTATTCGACACACTGTTCTTTCCGTCGCGTAGTTCTATTTTAATGCTAAATACTGTAATCACCTGTAATGTAATCCATCAGGGCTATCGAGCAGCTAAATGTGTTCCAACATGTCGCTCCAGTTGATGATACTGAAGTCATCCAGAGGACGGCGCGTGGTGGCGTGACTCTTTAGCAACTCCGTATAATCGCATTTGGAAACGCCTTTTCCGGATCCCGTAAAATAGGCCTATCCAAGCGACAATTCTTGGCATCGATGCGAATTATGTATTTTAGGTAAATCACACAGCTTCTTCTTCATCGCTTCCCTTCTGGCATAAAGGGAGGATCTCATGAATCAGCATTGGGTCATAAGCAGGTCTTTGTGGGGAATGGTATTTGATGCCTTATGGGGAAATTTATTCGATCGCTTCGAAAGTTATTCATGGCACCTGGGAAACCTTGAGTCAATAAAGCGCTTGGTACGGTACTTTATTTAAAAAGATATTGAAACAAGTAAATAAGTATGTGTGATATGAATGTTTATACCCGCTATTCTCAAAAACAAAAGCGCTCTGGTGGAATCCATTTTTTTCTTTATTCGATAGGCCAAAGTGCAGCGCCATTGAATATCAATGCGTTCAGAAGCAGTGTTATATTTTAAAAATATCTCAACAATTTGCTAATCTTTTGCAAATCCACCGCTACGAATGAAAAGTCAAATAAATTTAAAAGAAAATTTATACTGCTTTTAGACTGGAACGCGGACGAATTTGTTGGTAGGACATACATTCAACGTCACCGGATCTAACCGCTGAATGGCCTTGACCAGGTCTTTTTCCTTAAATTTGACTTCGACAATACCCTCAGGCTCTAGCACTCCCGCACGAGATTCCGGATCGGCATAGGTTTCCATGTACCGTGGATTGATGGTCGGATCCAACACAGCCCAGGCTCCTCCACGAAGTTCCGCATTCGGTGGTAGATAGACGATGATTTTACTGCTTTTAGACTGGAACGCGGACGAATTTGTTGGTAGGACATACATTCAACGTCACCGGATCTAACCGCTGAATGGCCTTGACCAGGTCTTTTTCCTTAAATTTGACTTCGACAATACCCTCAGGCTCTAGCACTCCCGCACGAGATTCCGGATCGGCATAGGTTTCCATGTACCGTGGATTGATGGTCGGATCCAACACAGCCCAGGCTCCTCCACGAAGTTCCGCATTCGGTGGTAGATAGACGATGACCGGTTGTTTGTACTCCCTCAGCCCGTCAACTATGTAGGCACCGAATTTAACGATTTGTTCGTACATATCTAGAAACGCAGAATGCATCAGTTAGATGCTATCATTTAAAGTTACCTAAATTACACTTTACCTTTCTGTCCACCGGAGAACCCTCTCCAGTTGGCCAGGATAATCAGTGGCAGTTCCTCTCGTCCAAAGTCTTTGATTACTTGTGCCGTTTTGTAGGATGAGTCCGGGAACCATACCTGACCGGCTTGTTGGAATGTTTTGGCTTCCGAGTCAAGGTTTGCCGGATCAGCCGGAATGGTCAGCTCGACTGTTCGAGTTTCTACCGCAATCACACCCACCGGGATGCCACCAAGTTTGGCACGACCCACAACAACCGTTTGAGCCCATGGTTCCATCACTTCCGACCAGCTTCCCCGATCAAAGAAACCGCTTTCCCATTCAGAGGGATTGGACGGATTGACACGTCCTGCTAGCATCCACCGCGGATCATAGGGCGCCTTAGTTGGCATGAAATCGATTGGTCGGTTAATTGAGTCACTGGTCGTTACGATTGGCAGCGTTCCTCCACGCACATCCGGAATGTAAGAGAGCCAATACAATATCGTGTAGACACCGTCCAAATCTATTGCCTCGGTCTTGTGCGTGACACCGTTGTTGTGCATGATTTGAATACCACCCAACTGGTTATTAGAAGCGTACACTTTTCTACCCAATAGTTTGTTCAGCGCGGCGAAGCCAGTCAGAATAATGTGAGAATTTTCAATTTGTATCACACGTTGACCAAGACGTACCAAATAGGAACCGATACCGATCGTTCTACAGGTCACCATCGAAATCGTTACCACATCTTCATACGCTCGCGAAGTTTCACCGGCAATCATACCAGCATAACGCAGATTCTCCACACCGAGCCCATCGGTTTTGCCAATAATATCAGTGATTTTATATCGCGGCTCTCCTTCGTCCTCAATCAAAATGGCACGAACCGAATTCGTATTTGCAATCTTGCTGTAGTCTTCAGTCGTCAAGTACAGATACTTGAATCCCTTCTCCGGCTCGTCGGGATCTTCCCAGGCCACTTTGAACAAGGATTTCACTTCCTCGGCCAATCCGATACGGGCACCACTGTTAACCGAAATGTAAATCCTAGGGCACTTGCGCTTCCGAGACAGTTCCGACGCCTTACAGAATAGCATATCCTCCTGAGGTCCAAAGGATCCGATGAAATAGGTTAGGTCGTTAGCGATGACTACAATCTCTCGCCCGTCAGGGAACTCTGGAGTAGCCAGTACAATCCTCCATGCCACCATCCCAACGTTGTTCTCTCCCGGTAACCGTTGAATCTCCTCCAACGTATCACCCTTCAGCACCAACTCGTTGCACACGAGTAGAATTTTCTCGGGAATCCTAATATCTTCCGTTGGTCGCGCTTTGGAAAATTCCTTCCACAATCGTTCCGTCATTTGGCGGAACATATCCGGAATATCGTACACATAGGTAGTACCATTGGATTGAGCCTGGAAGCGTTTCTGTTGTAGGTAATCTTTGGTCATGTAGGCCGAAGAAATCGGCAATCCATGCAGGGGTCCTTGCCTGTTACCGTATGCTTGGAATTTGATCACGTGCGTCTCCGGATCGGTCACTTCGGTGTACATTGCTATATCTAAAAAGTAACCGGAATCGTTTGCTATGCACAAACGAACGGAGGTAGTTGGCGATTGTGTCGTCTGCCGGATAACCATCTTCAGCTCAGCTTGCAGTACCCGCAGTTTCCACAACCGAGGCCCATACCGCATCACCATCTTGGTCACGGACTCCTCGATCTTGGCCGGATCCATTATAACCGTTGGAACAAAGTTTAGGAAAATGTGATTACAATCCGTACGTTTGGCGTGGGGATGCGAGAAGGCCACTTCCAGCTCATCCATCGCTTCCAATAGCACGCGTTCACCTTCGTTCTGAAGGTACTCGAATGAAGCCTCTTTGGTTATCAAATCCGAGTGACGAATAATGGAACGTATGAAGAAACGGAAATCTGTCACTTCCTGACCCTTGGCTACCTTGGCACGACCAAGATATAGGTGCATCTTTTGATTGGCAGTTGGCAGAGCCTCCAGGTCGTACGTTCGCATACGGTTCAGCTCCAGCTGGAAGGCACATGCCGGCTCCAGGTGACGATAGATACGATCCTCCTCAAAGTTGTCTCGTGCTCGGTAGGTGAAGAATTTTGGGAATTGACGTCTGTAAAAAAAATATTTGGTTTAGTATCTCATTAACCTCTTCTAAACACTTAATAAACTTACTTCTTGAGTGCGGCAAATGTAATCCGCCTAACTCTGCGGGTGAGCAGCTCTTCACGATGTTGAGCGCAGAACGATCCAAATACCTGCTCCATCTGTAAATCATCCATATCGCCCATGTCACGAACAGCAATGCTTAGGATGTGCATGGCTTCCGCTGGGTGTGCTACCATATAAAAATAAAGCCCCGGTTAAAAACCCTTGGTCCAATTCGGGTAAAACCATCCGTAAACATACCGGCAATTCCATCACTTTCCACAGCCCGTGCCACCGGGTCGGAAATCGAAACATTGATTGACGTACTCATACGACGGTCCGAATCTCCGGCTTCCACCGCTTCCAGTACCTTAGGATTGACAAACGCAGGCGATGAGAAGTCCTCTAGCAGGTCCAAAATTTCATCCGAGTATTGAGTGAAATGGTCAAACGAATCGAACGCGGCCATGCAACCAGTGCGCATGAATGAGTCGGAAATGTTGTCTGTTTCCGTTCCATCAGGGAGAACCGCAATAGACAGTGACGACAGCGATTCCGATCTGGTTTCTACACGAAAGAAACCAACGTCGAAATGACGGCTGTCCACGTCTTCATCTAGTTCTTCCTCGTTCGTTTCTTCGAAGCGAAGAAATCAGTCTGGAGGAACTGGTCAAGAAGATTCCACTGAAACGAGGAACTTCCGTCGAAAAATTACTTCGAGTCAAACCGGTCGTAAGGCTCGAGAAGCTCAGCTCGGAAAAGATCAAATCGTTGACTTCTTCGGAGAATGAAGACGAAGCATCCTCCGCCGGATCGTCGACCGTGTTCGATTTCAACTATCGTGTGAAGTTAAACAAAAAGCAGGGCCGAAAATCGATGGTAGAATTGCAGCCGATCAAACAGGTCATCCGCTCCGACACGAACACGCTAACGGATGCCTCGGTGGAGATCGTGCGTCCCAAGACGCCTGCCCAGAAATCTTTTAGAAAGCAGTTCAAACTGAAGCTTTTTGGGTCGAAAACCGTCCCACGAAAACGTTCCACCAGCGAATCTGATCCGGAGTACGTTACAGCGAAGAAAAGTTGATTTAATTTTAATGACGAACTTGCAGAATTTTCCAGCACTCGTGCACTAAGCAGGTCTTTCCCACGGCGCAATAGATTACTGCCAACGATGCCACCTCAAGCGGAAATGCGATTCGAGACCGGGTTGACGTTGATGCTCAAAAGCGAGAAAATGTTCCGGATTTCTCTACCCATGCGAATGTCAGTTGGTATCACACTGCTTACAGGTACTGAGGGAGAACCTTCCAAAACTTCTAGTGTTTGGACTGGTGGTATGGCACAAAGAATGCATAATGCACCACGAACCGACGGAGAATCGTATGTGCTGTGATCAATGTGATTGGTGAGGCAGAAGGAAACAAGCCAGCACTTGCATTATCACGACGTTCTTATGCATAATCTAGTGTGACGAAACGTTGGATCATGCGTAAGAACACCGTGAGAACGACAGAGTCGACTACATTCCTTCTGCCGCACCTATAGTAACGCACACGGCTCCCGCGCTGACTGTTCCTTACTTTCTCACTCTAATCAAAATTTCCTTCGATGAGTGAGAAAACAGCACCCCGTCAACACGAGCAAGGACACGAGTTGCCAGATCATTGCACACAAAACCAACTTGAATTAATTCAAAACAAAAATACTAGCGAACCTGGCGGTGAGGGGCGGAAGGTGGACTAAAATTCTATTACAGAGAACCACATTATTTTAATTCATTTCTTCGGAGAAAGTCGTCTGTAACTTCGTTTGTGGTATAAGGCTGATGTTTTGGCAAAAATGTATAAGTGAAACACATGGATCAAATAATTAATTTTCGTTTCGTGTAAAGATATTTCCAGGTATTTTCAGCACACAGATCGATAAAAGAAGCTTTTATCTATCACGCAGAAAATTTATCGTTGAAACAAAAATATTTGAGGTAAATTTAAACGTAAACTCAGGTTGTTCTGGCCACAAAAATAAACAAAGTTTATTTCAAACGTATTCCATATTTGAAGTCATGTAATATTAATGTTTAAAATAAAAATAATGTTACGTTTATTTTAAAAATATTCGTGTTGAAAATAAACGTGAATGTTTTTGTTTGGTTTGACAACAATTATGCGAACAAAAATAAATATGTTTATTGTAAACATGCTTCTTATGTTTGAAAGAAATATACTTAATTTTAAATTATATTAGCATTGGAATGTAAGATAAAGCAGAAAAATGGATTGCCACACGCAGAAAAAAATATTTTAAACGTAATAATATTTGACGTAAAATCAATAAGAATTTCATTTTGTTTTGGCTGCAAAAAGAAATCTCGATTAACATTTCAAATGGTCCTATCTGCTTTGATCGATTCTCTTAATCGACTTTCTCTTTTCATAACCACTGCTATGCAAACAGATTTCGCGTTAATTCTACCACATAGTTTGATAAAGGAGGTTCTTATCTAGCGTCCAAAACGTCAAATACAACAGGGAAAGGTTTTGCAGCTGAGTTATTGACGAAAGAGAAAGTCGATGAAGAGAATCGATCAAAGCAGATAGGACCAATTGAAATGTTCATCGAGAAATCATTATTGTTTCAACAATCCAGTATTTTTGTTCCTCAAAACCCATGGATTGTTAAATCAAAAAGAAAATCTTTTCGAATTTACAAGAGCTTTCATGGTTTTGACGTAAGCTGTCAAATTTGGCAGCTGGGTCAACAATAAAAATATGTTTGTTTTTAAAAGAGATTTCTTGTTGATTCAATCATATTTATTTTATGAAGTCTGAAAATTCACGCAGTAGAAATAAAAATATGTTTATTGATTCAAAAATCCGGGGTGATTTGAGATTTGGGTGTAATTGCTTTTGAAAACAAACACGTCAATCACTGATTTCTTTTGAATAAAAGCTCAATCTCACAAACAAACTATACCAAATGATAGAGGAATCATTCCTCTACCGCATAGTGTTAATACTTTTCGAGATTGAGCTTTTATTCGCGAGAAATCGGTGATTGACGTATTTGTTTACAAATGCAATTACGCCCAAATCTCAAATCACTCCGGAAATAATATGGCATTTTTTTTATGTTTTGTTATCTTTTTCACTGATCATCCTTCGGAAGGGAAGTAAAGCCGTTGGTCCCCGGTTAATTAGTTGATGGGTCGATATGTAGGGTCCAGGTGTGGGAGCTGCCTTCCTGGCGTCAGGAGCATTGGTACTCAGTACGGAAAACAAGATCGACGAAAAAAAAATCAAGGAAAAAAACAGAAAATTGATTATATTTAGCAACTGCAGCTTGAACTGCAGCATACTTACTTACCTCAAGTCTCAAGATTTTCGGAAATTTTGCACTTATTTCCCGAAATTCACAAGTTTTGTTATTGTTTACACTTTTGTCCGGGTGAAAACGAGGGAATGGTTGGTAGTTATTTTTGCATTCATGGCCCGGGGAATGGACACAGCAAATAAATGCTAAATTAAAATGAACTATTGTTGGATTAATAATAGAATATAGTTATTTTTACAATAGTTGCAGTTGAAAAGTGGCTTATTAAAACAAAAAGAATCCTACTTTGAATTTATATGAATAAGTATTATTGAAACAACAAAATGCAATATAATTTCAACCGGAATTGTTTGTTTAAATACAACTAAAGTTTTGTTTGGTTCAATGCAAACAATTTTCTGTCCGTGCAAGAGATGAAAAAACGATCTGCAGGAAGATCCCGAATTCAGTTTGATTGCAATGCTCGTTGCAATGTAGGATTCGAAATGCATGAATCGGAAGAAGATGAGGATGATGAGAAACCGTTGAGTTCGGTAAGGAAGGAGGATGAATGCAGCACTGATTTTAGTAAGAAGTTGATCCAACAAATTAATCAGTCGAGTCAGGATTGTGTGAATATGATAACGCTTGCTGAAGTTTCGAAGCGAATGGAAAATGAGCGGATGAAGTTGGAGCAGTTACGGAAAGAGCAAGAACGCAAGGCAGGTGTAAATGAGGAGCATGTTTCGGATCTGCTTGTGGCAGGAGAGAAGATCAAAGACAAAAGCTCGAAGCAAACAGGAAGAAATTACATTTTTAGGGGGGGGGGGAGGGGAGGGGCTGGAGGATCCGGAATAGATTCAAAATCCATTTCGGATTTTCGTTTCCCTTTGTTAAGATGCTTACCTAGGTGGGTTTCCGCATCCATGACTTCGGTTTTGTTGCGGGCCGTTTTCCTGTTGATTGGCAAAGCTGGGGCAATTTTTTTTCCGAATGTAAACAAGAATGAAAAAATGCAGGGCACGCTAAAAATCGTTTACAAAATTCTATATTGTTGAAATAAACATGCTTCTGACTTTAATTCAAATATATGTATTTTTGTTGCAAACATGGTTTTAAGTTATTTTGAATGATTCATATGTTTATAGAATGAACATTTTTATTTTTGATTTAAATGAACAAAATTCGGTTCCGTGTAGCATCTAATACGACAAACAACAAACGACAACTTCTGCTTACTCACCAGGTGAGTCGATCGTACTGACTTTCGTCCGATGTATCGAGTTGTCAAAAATTGAGTAAACGAGAAATGTCAAACTGAGTAAAAGCCACTCAGTCAGCAAAATTCTGGACTTGGAAAAAATGCCAGTCATGTCGGAGGAAACCTCATAGGAAATGTTACTTAAAACCGGCTGAAATGCCTTCAAGTAAGTACGAATTGCTTAGAGAAACGGTTTTGAACCAGTTTCTGCTCCGGTAGAATGAATCCGGAGCAGGCAATTTCCATGTCCTTGAAAAAAAAAATCAAAACAAAAATCGTCCCCGCAACTGAAAATTTCGCCGAGTGGATTTGACTCAGTCTACGTGAGAACGTCGTTTACTCAAAAGTGAATCAACAAAAGGCTACTCAATTTTGAGTAGCCCTACTTGCCGCTGAGATGAGTAAATTCGACTCAATTTTGAGTTAACCAGAATAAGCGTGAAGTTATTAACGAAAGAGAAAGTCGACGAAGAGAATCGATCAATGTTACTTAGGACCTAATGCAATGTTCAGCTTGAATTGGTTACCAAGATTCTATTGGAAGATTGCCGTAAAAGCTCGACGCAGATGTCGCCACGGCATGATGATGATAATGTTGACAGACTGCATATAAAATACATGAAAATTAGCATTAAATCATAATTTTTATCAAGCCTGCGTAAAATCCTTCCAATATAACATTCGAATTCATTCCTAGTTGAACACTCAGTCGGTTAACAACGTCCCGGTCTCAGTCGCGCGGCATCTAGTTTTTTTTCGGTGTTTTTTTCTGCCCGAGCGGTTTTTTCACCCCCCAATTGGGTGCCCCAAGTGACCAGTGTGCAACAGAGGAAGTGGAATTCCATGGGCCGAGACCCTTGGAGTTGCCATCCAGCTTTAATTCACCCCGGTAATCCATCCGGTCGTCAAGCCATTTTTTCATCATCGTGCCGACCCACCAACACCAACCATCACCACCAGCAGCAGCAAACGGAC